ACGGGCTGGGGGGGGGGGGGGAGGAGGGGGTGATTTCCCTCCTTGCCTGACACCCTCCAGATGCCCCCCCTTTCTGCTTATCTCGTGTCAATCTCCGGGCCCCACTCAGGTAGGCCAGAAAGTCAACAAGATATTTCCTCTTTCCTTAAGAGGTCACAGAATAACGCTGTACCTTCAGCAGAAGGCACTCCCATTCTGCATAGTCCAGGGAGCTCTCATCTTTGCCTGCAAAGCAAGAGGACGCAGCAGCAGGTCAACTGGATTTGAGTGAGCCCAAGAGAAGAGTCCCAGTGTCGCCTTTGCAAGCAAAACTCCCCAGAGGCCCAGGCTCCCAGCTACCAGAGCGTCCCTACTATGTCAGAGCTAGAAGACACCCTATGCCCCTTCTGTGTGAACCCAAAGGCGTAGGGCATGTCCCTGCCTTTTCTGCCTTTTCTTCCAAGGCCACTGCATCAAACCTAGACAATACTGACCACTTGCCGTGCCCGCTGCTTCACAGCAGCTGCCACAACAGTTCAGAACACAGCACGACTGCATGCACTACACGCAAGGCACACTTTCTGCAGAACGACCCAATGGTATCTGTAAAATGACGGCCTTTTAGGCCGTGCTATCAAGCTACTGCGAGAGGAGTTTTGGAAGGGGCCTTCCCAAACCAGCCTGCGTTTATGGTCTGAAAGAACTGCTGCTGCTGCTGCTGCCGCCAAGGTGGACTCCACTGGAGACTGTGAACTTGCCAAGAGAGGGCAGTGTCACAAAAGCTCCAGGCGGGGGAACGTGATCCCTCCCAAACACTAGCCAAGCAAGGATGGGCGGATGCTGCCAGAGCCTGCCTTTGGGACGCAACCAGCGAGGCTAAAGCCCAGCCAGGGGTCAGCCGATCTCAGGGGCACTCCTTCCCTCAGCTGCCAGTTCCAGCTCCCTGGCACTGGAAGGCAGGCCAAACAAGAAGGCTTGAAGACACTCAAGGTCTCTGTTCTCCTCAGTCACCCTGGGGAGCTGCCTTTCCCTTCCCCTCCTGGCTTCTTCACAGCCATCCCTTCCCAGCGGACACTTTACCTTCCAGGTACTGCAGCAGGGAAGGGATCTGCACCATCCAGGGAATGCCCACCGCTCTGTGAATCTGCCTGCGAAGGGCCTGCAGCAGCTGCAGGGCAGCAACTCCACGGCCACCTCCTCCATAAGGAGAGCACGCAAGCAACTAGACGAGGGAAGCAGAGGGAATTAGAGCTCCAGCCTGCCAGAGGAACAGCAGTTTGTCTGAGAAAGAAGGCGGGCTCCGCTCGTGCTGTGGCAGGCAGCACACAGCAGAGTTGCTTCTCTTTTTGCACTGCCCCCCTGAGGAAGGCAGCATCCTTGCTACTCGAGAGATTCACGCTGGGACTCCCCAGGTGCTCCCTGGAGGGCAAGACGCCCTCCGGCAGGCTTGTTCCTCCGTGGGGGCTGCGGGCACCTGCCTTGAAAGCAGTCTCCATCCTGAGCTCTGCCCCTGCCCTGGCTCAGAAAAACTCTGCTCCACGGGGTCCCCAACTACTCACCAGGAGGCGTAGCAGCAGAGCCTGGGGAGTTGGCATTGTGGCTGGAAAGTAAAGCAAAATGCTCTGTTTCAGCGGGCCAAGTCCCACACATGACCTTCACCCGTCCACCCCGGGCAAGGGGGGGCTGATCATGTGCTGATAATTTGCCTTCCCTCAGCTCTTCCCATCTCAGGGTATCCCCGTGATTAACGGACTGAAAGGAAGGTAAGTCCCCAGCAGCGCCAGGAAGGAGTCCTCCGTTTTACAGGGAGAACGCTGAGGAATGAAGAGCAAGGCATTTCCTCCGGGGCACAGAGGAAATACAGGGCAGGGCTCCCTGCCCCCTAGCAAAAGGGCAAGGCTGCGCTCTTCACTCTTCCTCGCCTCCCGCCTCCCGCTTGGGTGTGCCAGGGCACAGAGAGACGCGCAGGCTCAACCTGTCCACCTGACAGAGCAGGACAGACTGCATTGGAAGGGTTTCTGCTTTGTACCGTGTTCTTGGTAGCCCAGGTAGTTGGGTTCTTCCTTCTGCTCCTCTGCTCTCTCCTGCCTCTCCAGGAGCGCCCGGAGGCATCGGGAGAGTGGGATCAGAGTGCCAGTGTACTGAGCTGGCACTACATACTGGAGGAGCCTTGGCCATAGGAGCTGCAGAGAAGAAGACGGCAGTTCAGCATGTCGTTCCGTCCAGCTGTTTTGCTAGCAGTCGTCTCCTGCGGCTACCACCCAGCCCCTCCACCGTTAGCCTTCTCCAATACATTGCGTGATGTTTCGCCCGCCCTTTCTCTTCTACCTCTTCTCATTCTCGTCCGCTGCCCTAATCCCTACTTGAGCCCGTCTCTTGGGCTGTAACTCGCAAGGCTTGGTTTCCCCTCTCCTGTGACATGCCACTCTGGCAGCCTCATGCTCTGAAGAGCTTGTGAGCGGAGACGGGGAGGGCTAGGAAGAAACGTCCTCGAGGCAAGAAGTAGCACCAGGTGGTGCGATGACTTACTCTCGCCATGCCGCTCACTGAGACGTCCAGAGAGTCGAGGACTTGTAAGCACAGGGTTTGAAGCGCGGTTTCTTCCAGCACTTCTATCTCAGAGAGGTTTCCTGTCTCCTGCAAGGCAGAAGTTTGAAAACACTCCCATCAGTGACTCTTTCTTCAAGAGGAGGCTAGCGGGACTTGGCTTTTGGTTTGGGAGCACGGGTCACCTGGGGCACGACGAGAAGGGCAAGTCCTGGGGGGGGGCAGAGGCCAGACTGCAGGAAAAACGATGCCGAATGGAAGCAGAGAGAGTCACTGCCTGCACGCTGTGCATTAAGCACGCCAGGTGCTCCGTGGCCCACGCTCTCTTTCAGTGACACCAAGGGAAAAGCCAGGAGCTGCGCTCTCGAGAGGGGTTATGCTCGGTTCCTGCCCTGGAAGGAGAGCGTGACTGGCTGCCGGGGAGATGAAGAGGGGGAGGTGGGTGTCCTTTACGCCTTTCTCTGTACAAACAGAGCCTGCAGGAGGCTCCTGGTGAATGCTGGCAGAATCCCTGCTGGAGAGGAAAGGCCCCACCAGAGTGAAGATCTTCAGCAAGTCCCTCTCCTAGGGAACCGTCTAGGAGGACTCACCACGCCCTGAGGGCCTGGCTGGCAACACTCAAGACAGAGATTTGCCAATGGCCCCTTTGCTTCCGGAAAGGACCCAGAGCCCCAGCCTTCTTCACGGAGGACAGGGCAGGTTTGGAAGGGATGGGAGACAAGGAGACAATCAGGGAGCTTTTCCAGCTTCTCCTGCTTAGCCCATGCTTTCTGCCTTTTGCTGACCATCCATCAGCATCTCAGCAGTTCCTTTCAGCCTTGGTATCCTCCTGAGGATCCGCCTGTCCCGAGTGGCTTTTGCAAAGCAGCTTGGCTGAAAGGTCCTGGCAGCACCACTGCTCTCTTGAGGGTAACTCTCCAGTTGGTGGCTCCCAAGGCGTGACATGGTGGGGCAGAGCCACAGCCATTCCACTGACAGCAGCGTATACACCCACAGCGCATGTCCGTTTGGGTGCCAGGAAGTTCATGAGCCCCGCGACTCAAGCCCTGCTGCTTGAGGGCCTGCGCATCCTCTGTGAAGTCCGCCGCAGCGGTCAACATACCCAGGGCACCGAACAAAGTGCACAATGCCAAGTTGTTCCCCTCTTACCAGTCTGCTGGTGGCCCGACTGAACTCCTGGAAAATATAGGCCACCAGACCCCATGCTGAACAGTCGTCGACGCCAGAGCGGAACAGTTCCTTGATGAAGGAGAGGACGGCAGCTTTCACCTGCCAGGGAGGAGAGCGCAAAGCAGGGCAGCGATTAGTCCCTCTCTTCAAAAGCTCAAGGAAAGCTGCCCTGGCATTGACATATGCAGGAAGCCCCTAAGACCTTGGAGAGATGACAAGGAGACAGAAGAAGTCTTAGCTTCTGGTTTCACTGCTGCGCTTCCCAGCCAGGCCACATCTTGAGCCAACAGCAGCTGAAGTGGCATGCCCTTTCCCCTTGGCAATCGCTCCCCTGCCTATTTGCAAAGCTCCCCCTACAGCTGCTCAGCCGCCACCTGCCGCTCGCTTGGCAGTGCCAGCCACCTGCCAAGGCAGTCTGTAAGGCCCCCTCCTCGCAGTAGCTCTCCTGCTAACAAGACAAAGCAGGAAGCATAGGCCTAGGCTAGGTCCCAAAGAGCCGCCTCCTGGTATTTCCTTGCCAGAGTCGGCGCAGAGGGAAACGCTTTCTTCGCCACTCAGCACGGTCCCATCCCTTGCCCAACCGCCTCACCTTCCTCCGGTGGTCTCCACACACAGATTCCACCGCCTTCACCACCAGGCACATTTCCTTTCTTATCGTCAGGGCTGAAAGAAATACAGGTACATTGCGGCAGAGCCCCCTCTCAAAAACAACATGGCCCAAGCGTCCCCGTTTTCTCATACACAACTGGACAGACAGAAAGCACAGGGCAAAAGTCTCTGCCTTCAGTGGAAGCAGCAGAAGCCGCAAGCAACTCCCCTGCTACAGACGCAGCTACTTGACAGGGATTGCCTAACCCAGGGAGTCAGAGAAAGGCGATCTGCACTGGAATTGGCTGCTGTTTGTGCTCGGATTGCTACTGAGCTGAAAACGGCATCCCTGGGGCAGCGTGCTTTCTAACTACCCAGACACATTCTTCAGCTGGCTTCGATACAATACGGTTCACCTGGCGGGGAGGGGTGGGTGCGGGCCTAGCCTTTGTAAGCACTTAGGCATGTGTGTGCATCACCAGTGGAGTGCCCTTTCCCACTGGAACCACGGGAAGGAGCTCGGGCCACATTCAGTGTGCGGTGGAACCCACAGCGTTGCTCACGCTTTCTTCCTGGTGTTGCTTACAGTCACAGCGAAGCAAAGATCTGAGCAGATACAGGGATGTTGCTCTGCAAGCCTCGTTCTCAATCTGCAGTTGGGAGTAGAGAAACTGCATGGTGTCGTCAGGGAAACGTCGGGCTGGAGGGAAGAAATCATGCTGTGGGTTACCAGTCAATCTCTTCTCACGTTGCAGAGGCTTGCAGGAGAGCTACACAGAAACCACAGCCAAAGGCTGCCTGCTGCTCCTTACCTAGCAGCAGCATGCAGTAGGAGAGCTCTGTTTTGTGCTCAGTGCTGTGCCCCTTGGTCCCATTGGAGAGCTGCAGGAACAAGGTACATGTTAGCCTCAGTCTTCCGAGGGACTGGGGAGAAGCTCTCCTGTGAGGTCTTGTCTCCTGGGGAACTCACAGGGAGACAAAGACGCTCTTGCAGAAGGACAGCGCTCTGTGCTCACAGAGCCCTCTTCCGCTCTCCAGCCCCCTCCTCTCTCTAGCACTCTCTACGGAGCTCTCTAGCACTCTACGGAGAGCCCAGAGAGACAAGCTTCTGCTCAGACAGACCCCTTCCAGCTCCTGGAGTCAGAGATGCATCCCTTCCGGAGTGTCTTGCCTACCCACCTCCAACACTCCAGGGGGAGCCGGAGCCCACAGCCCAGGAGCCGCAGGCAGAACTAAGACTACAGCCCAGAGGCAACAGGCCGCCTTTGAGGTCCCGGCAGGGGCTCTGCAGCAGCAAAGCACCGTTAGGCTCCAAGGGCCGGCTAGGAGTCAAAGGCTCAA